AATCTATGAATGTGACCATATAGGGGGGAAAAAAGGACTTTGCAGGTTGATTACAGATTACTGACTAAGAATCTGGAGATGTGAGATTATCCAGATCATCCAGGTGGGCCCTCAGTGCCACCAAAAGTGTCCTTATAAGAGGGAGGCAGGAAGAGATTTCACACAGAATAGGAGGAGGTCGCGTGACCATGGGAGAGATGAAAGGAATGCAGCCACAGGCCGAGGGTGGCCTCACCAGCAGCCGCAGAGCAGGAGGGCTCTTGCCAGAGCCACTGGAGGGAGTGCGCCCCGCTGACACTGCCCTTGGCTCGGTAGAGCTGCCCTCAGACTCTGGCCTCCAGACTGAGAGAATGAATTCTGTTGTGTTAAACCATCAAGTGTGTGACAATGTGTTACAGCAGCCACAGGAAACTCATAGGAATGTACAAGATAAACTTTGTATCTTAAACGTAACTTTTACAATTTCCACGTAATCTGGTTTAAAATGTCATTGAGACAATGTAAAGTTATAATAAAATAAACCCCAGCCTTCTAAAGGAGCAGGTCCAGCCAGCTCCAACTGTGGCCAATGAAGGTGCTCACGGCCTCAAGGCCCACCCACCTTCCCTCTGCGTCTCAGCCTCCTGGGCTCCCATCCTGTGCTCTGGTGACCATGGTGTGCCAGCCATGCCTGCCTGGCCCACAGGCACCTGCTGCTGCCACTCCACCACCTCCACCACCCTTGTGGGAGCCACCCAGCTCAGTCCTAGGGGTGGCTGCCTCTGCTTCTCCGGCTGGGGGTCCAGCACCCTGAGCACACGTAGTTACTGTCCGCTCCCTCCTTAACAGCAGACACCATGACTCTCATTTCAGCAGAGCATTTAGAGATTGTTCCCTGGACCACCGGTGAGTATCCCCCAGGGGTGTCTGTGGCCCAGCACCCAGGCAAGACGCAATGGCATGGAAAGTCTGTATGGCACGTGGAGGGTGCGGGAGGAGATGTAGAAACAGCCTCCTGGGCAGGCAGCGGAGGCGTGAGGACCAGTCCACAGGGGCAGCCACACACTCCTTGCTGAGCTGGTACTGGCCACGAAGGGGGCTGCTGCATCTACTTCGAAACCAGAGCCAAGGGCACTAAGAGAAGCCACGGTTACAGGGGGACCCATCCCTGAGCATCGTGGTTGCTGCTCTGGCAGACTTGGGCCTACCCTGTCCCCTGCCCATAAACACAACCCCACGAGCCAGAGCATACAAGTCTCAGTCCGCAGAAAGAACACACCACCCACTGGTCCCCAGGCCACACACGTACATCCAGGCCATAGCCCGAGGCAGGGACAACAGGCCACAGTCACAGAACTGGCCCAGGATCATCCTCCTCTCTTTATCTGCAGGAACATGGTGACAAATGCAAGAAAAAGGAGAGTGCCCCAGAGATGGCATTCACAAACAAGTCATTCGGGAGCAAGGACCCCAATTTGCCCCAGCACCTGGCAGCAGGGGCCCACTCACCGCTGTTGCTCGTCTGTCTCAGCTCAACCTTGTCTGCTCAGTACACCTGGGCATGGCTGGCCAGCCCAGCCCCCACGCACAGCCAGACTTTTACGAGCTGGGTGGCACCTCCTGAGAAAATAAACCAGCCCTAGTGAGGGCCGCCCAGGAACTGGCTCCAAACACCAACAAGGAAGGGGAGGCTTGTGGAGACTCTTATGGGGATAACACACACACAGAGGGGTATAAAAGCCCAACTGCCCCACTCACTCACACCTTCACTCCCTCACTCACACCCTCAGCACCTCACCCACTCCTCACACCCTCACTCACCCACTCACCCCTCCCCAGCTCGACACCCAGCATGGCCGCGTCCACCACATCCATCTGCTCCAGCAACCTGAGCTACGGCAGCCGGGTCTGCCTTCCCAGTTCCTGTGATTCTTGC